CAAAATAATGTAGTTTCATGAATGCATGCATACTCATAAACTTTCATGTTTATAATATCAGTAATATTTGTTTATTGCCAGCCTTAAATATGGTTAAAAGGAGGACCTCTACGCTCTACAGAGGACCTCTATTAAATGGAAAATGTTAACCGTGGCCTATAAACATGAATCAGGGACATCATAAAATTAATTTCTGATGCCTTTGGTGCCCTAGTACTGGAAGAAACTACTTTTTAGGCATAAGGCCGATGTTGTTGTTGTTGTTGCTTTTTCTTGCTCATTGTTGTATGTTTATACATATAACCATGTGCAAGAAGTAAGTAGTATATATGTATATACAAGTTTTTATAATATCGATATACTACCGACCCTTATGTCTTTTACGCACGTTACGCAATTACTGTGTGCTAGGGATGACTAATATTTTTTTATGAAATATAGCAATTTACTAGTTTATAATGTACAACTTCCTACAAGTAAATAAAATTAAAGAAGTCAAATCCTCTATTTATAATAATTGAGATATAAAACACGAAAATATACCCTTTTTCTTTGACAGTTGCATAATAAATGAGCAAGGAAACGAAAATACATATACTTGTGTGTCGATTAATCATTCAGTTAATTAACTTCGACGCCAATGTGATACGTGAACTCAGTGATTGATGCCTCTCCTGACGATACTTTTGTTTCTTACCTACATGTATATATAGCTTTGATGACCTCGGTGGTCTAGAGGATTAGCACGCCGCTTTACGTCCGTATGGTCGCGGGGCCAATTCCTCGCACGGCACAAACATTTGTATTCATGAATGATTGTTTGTATCAGTCTGGGTGTTTTCTTGTATGTATAATATGTATGTATTTACAAAAAAATATCTATGAATTTGTATCAGTTATCTAGTACCCATAACACAAGCTTTAGCTAGCTTAACTTGAGTCTAGATGGCGCTGTGTGAATCCTGAGAGTAGGTATAGCTTAGCTATGATCTTTATAGCAGAGATGAAGGCCTCAGTTTAACGGTTTAGCACTCCGCCTTACACTCGATACCGTCTCTTTGCCACGCACAACCACACTGTGGAATCATCTTCCAGCAATGGTATTTCCGAACCGATATTGAAACCTTAAAGAAAAGAGCTTATTCCTTTTTAAAAGACCGACAACGCTATTCCCCTGGTGTTGCAGATGCTCATGGGCGGCGGTAATCACTTATCATCAGGTGAGCAGGCGTTTGTCCCCTATGCTATAAAAAAAATGTCGCGGGTTAGACGCCTCACTCGATGTGAATATTTGTATTCAAGAGTATGAAAGTTTGTATTGGTCCGGATGTTTTCTATGTATTATGTATTTACTAAAAAATTGATTTTAATACTTAGAAATAGAAACAGAAATAATCTTTATTTAAATAAACTTAATATAAGCACTTTTGAATGGACTCATTTTTTTTAATCTACAATTCATTTGTAATAGCGTAACGGTTTCAACTTTGAGTTTGAGCTTGAATTTTTAGACCAAGACGTTTATAAAAAAGCAATACGCAAGTTTCTTGTTTATTCTTCTTGTGATGAGTTTGCCATCATAAGAAGAATAAACAAGAAACTTGCGTATGTTGGTCTAAGTATACACGTATTAACAAGGATTAGGTTGCGACAATCAATTGAAACAGCTACGCACTCAATCTTTGTGCGCTCAGATAATATTGTCAGCGCTATGAATTTTAAGTTAGAATTTTCCTTTAAAAATCATTATCATTTATAGATTTAAGCATACATAGGGACATATAGCGACAGCGACTTTGTTTTATACTATGTAATAAATAATGATTTTTAGATGAAATTCAATCAAATCATATACAGGTTAACTTTAGGCAGTATCGATTGTGGTCCAAATTTAAACCGCATTAAAATGAATCTATTTTTAATTATCTTATAAATACATACTTTATTTTACTTTCTATCACATTTCAGTTTGAGTTTACGTTGTACATTTTATTTTAAAAACATATTTACGGCCTTGGCTAGAGTTAATTCTGCCAATTTGTATTTTTAATCTAGAGTATTAAGTATTTAAAAATAGTTTTCATTACATTTCTAATAATAGGTTTCGCATTTCCATTCATTAGTATGGAAGTTCGAGAACCTGCGACCATTGAAAGTAAATCGGTATGCTAAATCACTAGACCACAGAGACCGTCAATAAGAATAGGAAACTTATATTTATTTCCATCTGAATATGATATGGCAGTCAATATAAAACTTTATGCAGACTATTACAAGTTTCGGTTTTGTTCTACCCTTTCTGCCTGTAACTTTTTGATTGACATTTATTCTAATGTATGTAAATATAAAGTATTGGTGAATTATTTTATATTAAATTCGACAGTTTCATTGTGAATATAGACAGACAGAAAATTGAATTATTTTAATCCGACTTCATAAAGCCCCCAGCCTCAGTGTCCCTGGCCAAGCTGAACTTGTGTAATTGGCACTAGACAAGTGATACAAATATTGAAATATATATTTTTTGTAAATACATACACAACACACTAGCTGTGCCTGCGGTTTCACCAGCGTTAAATTTCAATAAAAATTATAGCCAATGTGTTAATCTTATTCATAAGTGTAATACTGTAAAGTTTCATCAAAATCAACAGTTTTTGAGTGAAAGAGTAACAAACGTAAACTCACAAACTCTAGTGTTTATAATATTATTAAGATTAGGATTAAGATATAGAAAACAGCTAGACCAATACAAAAAAACATAATTATGAATACAATTGTACTGTGTTGTGTTTGTACTGTGCGAGGAATCGAAGCCGCGACCATCGGAAGTAAAGCTATGTGCTAAACAGCTAGACTACCGAGGCCGTCAAATATAATATTAGAATAGAATAGAATAGAAAATTATTTATTCAAATAAACTTAATTTAAGCACTTTTGAATAGTCAAAACGAAAGTCTTCTAATTTTTTAAAAGTCTACCGCTTATTCGGAAAGCTGTCTCATCACAAGAATAAGCAAGAAACTTGTGTGTTGCTCTTTTAACCAATCCTTGTAAGTTTACATTTACAAGTCGAAACGTGTGAATACAAACTACCAACCAGCACTAATTCATTTAGGCTCAAATATAAAAACACAATAAGATTAAATCAGTCGTAGTGATAAGAGCAGACCAGTCTCTACAAGCAGTACTCGTTCACGAGTATATTAGTAAGATGACTAAAAAATGATCGAAAGTGGCATCAGTTGTTTATAAATAGAGAAGCAATTTATTTTAATCGTGGGCGATGCTCGTTTACATTGTAAACAAAAAATCCAATTAAGTATTTAAATAAAGCTAACAATATGAGCAGAGGATGGATCGCCATTCCGCCGAATGAAGCAATAATGGATTTGATGGTTGGCCGGAATTCAGTTTCACGTCTCATGTGCGGTTATTTAATTTCATTCAGTGACAAATAATAATTAATGTTATTAGGTATAATAATCGACGAATAATCTTATATATAAAATTCTCGTGTCACAGTTTTCGTTCCCATACTCCTCCGAAACGACTTGACTGATTCTCATGAAATTTTGTGAGCGTATTGAGTAGGTCTGAGAGTCGGCCAACATCTATTTTTCATCCCCCTAAATGTTAGGGGTAGTCCACAACTAATTTTTTTTTTATTTTAAGGAAAAACAACGTTTGCCTGGACAGCAAATAGTAATATATATATTGCCATAAAATCCAAAATAGATGCTTCCGAGATGTTGTCGCAAAATGTTAGGAATTTCATGGACAGAGCGGCGCATCTATTGAAACAACTAGGTATCAGAACTCGTCTCTCTATTGTGTGCTTCCAGCATCTGCTAACTGCCACGTGGCCCAAATCTATACATATAAATAAAATTGGAGTGTCTGTTTGTAATATTGAAATAACTGTTTTTTACTACTTGCATCCTTACTAATATTATAAATGCGAAAGTAACTCTGTCTGTCTGTCTATCTCGCTTTCGCGTCAAAACTACTGAACCGATTTAAATGAAATTTTGGTACACGGATAGTCTGGACCCTGAGAAAGGACATAGGCTACTTTTGAATGCGAAAAAAGGGGTTGAAAGTGGGGATGAAAGATTGTATGGAAGAATCGTCATTTTTGAAGCTAAAAGCTTGAAACTTATTTTTCAGGCTGTTGAATAAATATGAATGAATATGACATACAAAGTTTATAAAAATTTTACCCATAAGGGGGTGAAATATCATATATGCCATAATTTAAAAAGATATTATATAAATTGAGCGATATATAATGATAAGTGTGATGCAGACGAAGTCGCGCGGGTCAGCTAGTATGAATACGGTACATACACCAAAATAACATTTTTTACAATTTTTGTCTGTCTGTCTGTCTGTCTGTTTGTTCCGGCTAATCTCTGAAATGGCTGGATCGATTTTGACGAGACTTTTATTGGCAGGTAGCTGATGTAATTAGGAATAACTTAGGCTACTTTTATTTCAGAAAATAAAGTTAAATTGCACGCGGACGAAGTAGTGGGAACAGCTAGCACAATATATAAATGTACATGTGGCGTATAACCATAAGACAAACTGAGAAATTAAAACTAATTAGTAAGCGACGTATTAAAGTTTAGTTTTAGGTAACTATTCGTCATTTTTTTAATTATAGATAAATATATTGAAGTAGAAGTATCTACTAGAATCTGTTTTGATCAATCAATACCTGTAGTATTAAAAACTATCAGTTACAAAATTAAAGGAAAATTGCTTATAGCAATAACATTTACATCAGTGAATATTGTATTCAAATCTTTAACCCTTTCTTAAAATCATCGATGAGACACAAAAATAATAAAAGATACTTTTATGTTATCTCAGTATATATATTGTACTAACTACGTGTACATTTTGTTTAATAGTTTATGCACAAATATGATATGTTTAGAATTTCATTATATGTAGTGTATTTATTACATTATTTAATCATTAAATATAGGCTATCATATGACATATCCCATTTGTTGCATTTCAATATCGAATTCTTTCGTCCTATATTTCTTTATTTTATGCAGCCACGTATCATAACTGCACCATAATCTGCAGGTGCCACCGTATCTCTCCGGCAAACAGTCAATAGGGATGTGCTGCTGTAGCGACTTCAAATCTTTCCCATGGAAGTGAAACTTGCTCAGAAATTGCCGGGGTAAGAACCTCTTCAGTACATACAGGCCTGTGTACATCATCCAGGAATAGTTGATGAGGTGACAGCTGTTTATGTTTATGTACGTTGCCACCTAAACCAAAGCAAGCAGCTATAGAAATTACTTAAAGATTTTAACATATAAATCGACAATACCATATACATAACGCTATCATGCGTTGGTATTTCAGTAGATCAACATGCCATATTGATCCACTGGAATGCTGGATTCTTATCCTGTAATTACACTGTAACGTCTTATCTTTCGTTTACAGCATACCTAGTAATTTGTTTGACAGTTGAAATGGTTATTCATTCTAAAATACTATGTAGCTTATCTATATTATTAGTTTTACTACTGGATACTAGATGGTTCTGTTCTGCAAGTTATAAGTATTTCATAAAAAGAAAGACAAATGGATGAGGATGAGGATGCAAATATTCCAATTTCAAATTTGAAGAATTTTCATACTGATTGACAGTTTTTAAACCTTTTTCAATTTCTTAAATGCACATAATGTGGCCTTTTTTTCGGACTACTCTAATGCTGTTGTCCGCAGCTGGCCTTTATAGCTTCACTGGACGATAGGCGGCGAGTGCAGATGACACTCCAAACCCGCGGAAGGACTTATAGAGCGGTTGAAGGCGAACTCCCGCCTCACGGATACGACTTTAGCGAGGTTCGAACCTCACCTCAGGCCGTTGTAGGGATCGATCAGAGGGGATACATACTGTTCCTAGTTGTTGCGGGGCCCTTAAACAGTTGTTTACTCTTGCTAATATAATAATTAATTCTGTCCTGGGAGCTATATAAGAAGATACACAAGATTAATACAAGCGACAAATAAAAGTCAACTCAATACTTACACCCCCCAAAAGTACGATCTGTTGACAAACTGTGGGCGTTAACTTGGATACATGATTCAAGGTTAATCCTTCTAAATCAACAATAAGGGTAAGACCCAGAATTTGCAGTTTTGGCTGGCGTGCACAAATTTCCACTAGCGATCCACCAGCTTTCATAAAAACGTCTGCATCAAACTCACTTGTGTTCCACACTCCTAGAACATGAGAGTGACAATTTAAGTAAAGTATAAAACATTTTAATTAAAAAATAAAATCTATTTTTTATTTCGTAGTTTTGGATTGTCCAATCATTACATAGTATAAAACAAAGTCGCAGTCGCTGTCTGTCCGTCCCTATGTATGCTTAAATCTTTAAAGCTACGCAACGGATGTTGAAGCTGTTTTTTTTAATAGATAGTGATTCCAGAGGAAGGTTTATTATATAATACATGTACACCCGGGCAAAGCCGGGGCGAGTAGCTAGTTTATAATATAATTAGTTATTTATTGCATCAATTTATCTGTTCTAGGGATACATTCATCTTTGCTAACATTGTCTGTAAATTGTTTTATTACTGCTTCTGAGTGTAATAAATTTAATTTAATTTGGTTTTAATTGTAGGCAAATATGTTTAAACTTGCGTCACATCAAGGAAATTTTTTTATGAAGGTTTTAGTATCAAATCTATTTGAAAGTACCATTGCTGGGAGATGTTATGCATGGTAAAAATTATGGAAAACTATAACACAAGCTCTGCTTAGTTTGGGACTAGATGGTGTATATTGGTTGTGTTGTAATTGTCTTGTGTTATTGTACGATAATATCTATTTATGTACAAAAGTGTATCAAGGCCTAAAAATCTAATCTGTCTTACTTAATTCTGCATTACTTTGGAAGCTGTGTTTCGGTTTAATTGGCAGGCAGGTAACATAATGCGGAATTCTCTAATAAGCCATTCCAGGGGACCATGGTAATTGGAAAGGTAAACAAGCATACGGTCCACCTGATGGTAAGTGTATATGGTCATACATAAACAGTAGTATTATCGTCACATTACCACTCATGAGTTACCACTCCAGAAGGCGAAGATGTCATGCCTCTCATCCTATGATTATATGTCTATATATATGCTAGTTTATTCCACACTACACATAAATTAGTAGTAGGTAGGTACGTATTTTTTTTATTCTTGTCTACCGTTGATGTGTATGAATTATTTATAATGAGTTCAGACATATGTAAATCTTCGTTAATGTCTACATGACTGATTTCAGACGATACATATAAATTTTAATTAATATTATAAATGCAACAGTGAGTTTGTTTGTTTGTTACTCTTTCATGCATATCTCCTGTCAAATTATCACTATATTAAATAAATATACATAATTTCGGGATAAAAACAGGCTTTTCTCTCATTTAGTCGTGATGACGTGGGACCAAGTCCCGGGAAGAAACTAGTCTATTCAAATATCGTTATAGCAAATGACAGTGAATTTACAGGCGTGATAATGTGTTCAATAAAGGACGATTTTCTCAATTCGATTTAATTTGTTCTTTATGTGTATTACCTAAGATTTTTTTTTCTTCTTGAATCGATTTTTTTATATTTGAGAGCTGGTGCTTCCTGTGTAGTCCTATGTATATACTGTATCAAAATCTGATCCGTAGTTTTTGAGTTATCCTTAAATATACTATTATAGTCGATTTTTTCGTGACCAGTACACGTATAACTAATGCCCATTATGGTATGCTCTTCATGTATATATGGTGGACAATAGTAACTCATTTCCATCTGGTGGGCCGTCAGTTTATTTACCATTAAATTTATATCTAACAAAACTGTTTTAATACCAAGATCTATAAGTCTATACCCAGTCTAGTTATGCCGACACGTCCAATATCCGGTTGGTCGCAGAACGTAATCTCGTAAACGTCTTTCATTATCTTCAAGGACCAGAGGTCCACGTTTGTCCACAGATGAGGGCTTTGTTCTCTAAACATGCAGTATTTCACCATCTGAAAATATATACTTTTTGTTTTAGGGGCGATAGTGGAATGGTGCATCGCTTGCGCTAACCGTTTCACTGGGGGGAAGTGGATTATTACCATGTTACGTTGACCTCCACGCGGTTCCCCCTGGAAACCATCGTGGTACATTTGCCAAGATGGATTAAATGACCTGACTTCATACCTATTCAGATAAAGAATGAATACATCAGAGGAAGTATGAAAGTGGCACCGATGTCGGAGAGGTTGAAGAGTAATCGTCTATCGTAGTATGGGCATGTAATGCGTAGGAATGAAGATCATATCCTAAGGACGGTGTTACATATGAATGTGGATGGTTATAAGGGTAGAGGAAGACCGAAAAAGAGATGGATGGACTGTATGAAAGATGATATGGTAAGAAAGGGAATAAATAACGGGATGACTGCGAACAGAGATGAATGGAAGAGAAAAACATATTACGCCGACCCCAAATAAATGGGATAAGGAAGAAGCAGATGATGACTTCGTATTTATTCTATCCACCTCCAGTGGTGCCCCGCCAGCGTAAACCGTTAGCGCATGAAATGATGCACCCATAATTCCATTATCATCCGTAACGGTAATACGGTCGTATACCGTATTACAGTGGAGGATGATGGGATAGTGGCGTACACTATCCCATCATTCTCCACTGTTGCCTCTCCAGCACCAGTGGAAGATATCGGAATGATCATAATCCAAAGTCTTTTCGCCCATCGTGCGAATTCACCAGATATGAATTCTTTTGATGATTTATTTTCATTGTAACTACATTTACAAGGAACTTTAATAGTCTCCAGAAGAGTAGCACGAAGGTCGACCTGACAACTAAAAATCCCCTTGCTTTCCTCTTGTTCAGGCCGCTTTACCTTCAAATGTTGCGGGTTCGATTCCTCGCACAACCAAATTTGTATTAAATAGTTTACTTGTTTGTATCTGGGTATATTATATATGTATGTATTTATAAAAACTGTATATTATCTTTTTACTTACAAAAACTCATATCACAAGTTTTGCTTATCTTGGAACTAGATGGCGCTGTGTGCATTGTGAGGGAATTATCAGCTCGTTATATAATCAAAAATTGTTACTTTGTCATCATTACATAGTATAAAACAAAGTCCCTTTCGCCTCTGTCCCTATGTATGCTTAAATCTTTAAAACTATGTAACGGTTTTTGAAGCAGTTTTTTTTAAATAGATAGACTGACTCGAGAGGACGGTCTATATGTATAATACATGTAAACTCGTGCGAAGTAGGGGTGGGTAGTTTGGTATATAAAAAAAATTATCATAATTTCAGACCGGAGAACGTCCACTGAACAAAGGACTCCCACAAAGATCTCCACGACGATGAACATTAACAAATATGTATTGGTTATTTACCAGTCTATGTGCTTTAGATACATGGAATTTCCTCGCGCGCAGAAATCTTAGTAGGAATCTGTCATCCGTCCTTAAGGGAAAGCACTCACCGCGCTCTGAAATTATAAAAGGTATCACATAACTTCAATTAAAATATGAATAATTAATGAATATTTCTTAATAGTAAATTTAATAAAAATATCTAGCTATATGTGTAACTAACAGTTCCCGCGACTTCGTCCGCGTGGAAATTAACTTTCTTTTTCTAAAATAAAAGTAGCCTAAGTTATTCCTTATTACATCAGCTATCTGCCAAAAAACACCCGTTAAAATCGGTTCAGCCGTTTCAGAGATTAGACGGAACAAACAGAACGACTGACAGATAGACAAAAATTTTAAAAAGTGGTTTTTTGGTGTAATTACCGTATTTGTATTCATATGCATGTAGTAAACAGTTATTTCAATATTACAAACAGATACTCCAATTTTATTTATATGTATAGATGTATAGATTTGCTGAACCGCGCCACTTCGTCTGAATCACACTTACTCGACATTTATTTTCAATTTATTATATCACCTAATTTACATAATATCTTTTTAAAATGTACCTTGTGTTATTCTAATAAGATATATTCCTGTAAAGTTACATCAAAATTCATTAAGAAGTTTTTGTATGAAAGAGTAATAAACATCGATCCATACGTACAAACTTTCGTGTTTATGATATTAGTAAGATTATTTATTAATATAAGAAAAGTTATCCCTTACCATAGACCATAGTTCTAAGTTCATCAATTAATTTATCTCTGGTCGTTATGTTCTCGTTACACTTTTCCGCGGCAAGTGCGAGAAACTCTTCGTCCTCTTCAGTATTCATAACTTCTGCTTCATATGTGACCTCCATGAACCTCTTGAACATTATGTTCTGTGAACATTAATAAATTTATATATATAACAATTTATAATCATTTCTTAACCCCGCGCCTTCATACTAAAGGCCCGTTGCACAATCAATAATTGTGTATACCTACGTATAATGTGGAATGAACTAGCGTTTAACATTTTCTCGAAGACTACAGAAACTTATATTATTTTTTAAGAAGGGTATATTAATGGTTCACAAATATTCAGAGCGGATCGGCTACGCGCACGTGAAACTTTTCTATGGAATATATTACATCTACAATTCTTCCAAATTACGATACGTGTATTGCAATCATTTACCGTTAGTATGTAATATTATGTTATCTGATGACAGTTAAATCTAAAGTCAACAATACGTTGTTGGTAAATCAAAAAGAAACTTATTTATTCAGAAGAAACTTAAACAACACACAAAGGATATTTCTTTAGTTGTTTACAAGTAATGTGGTTTACAAACTTCCTTCTTGATAATGAGGAAAAATATCGAATACATGGGGTTTTTGGAGTGTTTGGAATCATTTACCATTAGTAAATATTGATCACAATTTTTAAAGAAGAATAAAAGTCTAAAGTGACAATACTATAATAATAATATTTCTTTAGTTGTTAAAGTTCATTACAAACTACTTGAAATAAAAAATAAATACTGGAGTGTTTACAGCAATAAATATTGAACACATTTTTTAAAGGTGAAAATTGTGTGACTGTTAAATGTTTCATACAAATATGTAATTTAGATATAGTGGTAACTAATCGAAGTTTTAACTATAGATTGTGGAACCTGCTTTGAGTTATTAATATATATAAATGAATAATAGATGAGATATGAGTGGAGGAGTTATTGCAATGTTTAATGTAATATTGACCTTGGTAACATAAATATGCCACTTGCCTTATCCCAGATACTCCCTGTTATCAGATGCATTGTAGACATGTGGCAAAGTTAATATCAAAATTATTTACTTATACGTGAAATTCAAATTCAAATTAAAAAATCATTTATTCCTGCAGGTACATTTTAACCGCTTATGAATGTCAGTTTCGTATTATATTTTTTTCCTACCGTCCAGTTCAGTATACAGATTCAATTAAACACTAGCAAGGAACTCAATTGAATTTCTTTTTTTTATAGCCGTTTTAGTTACAATGTATGTAATTATATACAATGAAAATCCCGTCCATGAACAACTATGCCATACACACTCGTTTATTTAAGGGTAAGGGTTTATTTAAGGGTGATTCCAGTATATTTTATGGTATTTTATTTCTAAACTTTTACCCATTCCCATAAAATAAAGAAAACTTATTGGTATCGATTTTAATTTTATATTATTAACGAATTATGCAGAAATAGAATATATAAAATAAACTTACTGTTTTATATTTATCACTTCATCAAATGGCATTCACAAAATTATTCGCAAGAAAACTTCAAATAAATATTGTATCCGTAGTATTATAAATATGCTACTAGACGTATCATAGGGTGGAAGTGTACTGAAGAATTTAAGATTTGAGTATGACGTATGGAACAAATGTTTAATTCATAATAAATTTATTGTGAATAATTAATTGTAGAATTTGTTTACAGACGTTTGTTGCAATTGTAGACACGTGGAATGTATCGCAAATATTTCAGAATAGGTACAGGCTATTATTTATTTATTCTTTATTGAACAATAAGTCTTGTACAAAAGGCGTACTATTCCGTATAGCATTCTCTCTATTACGATTTAAATTTCGCAACAGAATTGTTTCTAAATTCTTTTAAGTAGAATCATATGAAACACATATTATATGTCATTAAAAATAGTAATAATATTCTAGGACAATTCATACATCTAGTACCAAACTCATCAAGGCTTGTAATAATTCTCTGCTTCTTCTTTATTCTATTCATAATAATAACGTTATTCTCTTCCATTCATCCCTGTTCGCAGTCATCTCGTTATTTACTCCTTTACTTACCATATCATCTTTCCCACAGTTCATCCATCTCTTTATTGGCCTTCTTCTCACCTTATAACCATCTACATTCATATGTAACACCTTCCTTAAAATATCTTAATAGCATAAATACTTTTTTTTATAAAATTATTTGTTAAAACACAGGAAACACGCTGACAAATACTAATAAGTATACTCGTGAATGTAAAATATTCTATCGTGTTAACAATGGTCTGAAGTAATTTGGGGTCCTAAATCACTAGACCACTGAAACCAACATTTTACTTTTTTTATTGAATTCAGGAATTATTTCCGTAAGTTAAACTAAAATCGATTTTCTTAGTCAACTATAACTTTTCTCTGTTAATAAACTATATAGATATATCGATGGTATTGATATTGTACCATAGTATTGACATCGATGTAAAAATATCGATAGATTTATCGATCATGTATAAGCAACGTTATTATTGCAGGATTCGGCTTGTTACGATTCCCCTATCGTTACAACTTACATAAACACATATACAAGGAAAAAGTGGCCAACTTGTAAACCCATCGACTATACTGTGTCTAAAAACAACACTTGACGGCCTTGGAGAAGTGGCGGTTTGACCCACGTGTCACCTTCCAATGGTCGCTGCTTCGCTCCCGTACAAAACAAACATTTGTATTCATGACTGTGAAGTCATATATATATTTAGAAAATAATATTTAATAACTGCTAGTTATTCGCTATATTGTCATTTTTTTTATTCCGGTGCGTCTCTTCTAAAGTGGGCGGAGGCGGGGGAACTGGGAGGAGTTGCGTCCCCTTGCGTTGAGTCGGTCCCGCTTGGGATCCCAGTGGCGGTTGAAGGTCAGGAGGAATGCCGTGGGGTTTTTGGTGAATTTAACCCTATACATGGGGAAAGGGGAGTGTTAGTAATGTGAACTAATAATGATGCTAGCAATTTACCATGTCAGGTCGACCTCCACGCCGTTCCTCCTGGAAACCATCGTGATAAATTCCCGTCACGTTAGGCTAACTGATCTGACCATACAATCATCATATCTCCACTGATGCCCCGCCAGCGTAAACCTTCAGTGCATGGTGCACCCATTCCATTATCATATATTAAAAAAAACCCCTGACATGGACGGGTCATGTGGGTGATGAGGAAATTTCCCCATTTAAAAATAGCTTTCTCTGCTATTAATGTCATGCAGAAAACAACTTGACATGCCCATTTTTCATTTGAGTATATTTTAATCAAATGTGGCCAGGGGCCAACACTACCACAACGGTAAACGTCCTAGATTGCATTAAAAAATTAAACATGAGTTTTTATTAATTAAAAATTTATTCAATTGTATATTTTAGTCTTCATATTCATCATATATAATACATATAATAGAAAAATATGTATAATTGTAGAATTATATATTCTATATTATATTAATATACTGGTAATATTTACCTAACAGTTTACGATAAAAAATCACAAAATTTACTAAATCAAAGGCAGCAAACAGTACAATGTTTGAACTCTAATGCATGCTATGATCACAATTCTAAAGTATGTTTGTTTTAAGAACTTAGAAGTTATATATTACATAATGTCTAAGTTTGTTGCTTTAATCCAGTTTTAGTACACGATCTGTATAATAGATGGCGCTGTATACAATGTAGACGGCGCTATGATTTAGTTTTGTCACTTTGTAAGGCATTTTCATAGAATGCTGCTGGTAGTCCAGAGTTTGATGTTTGGCTGTACAGATATTTTATACTACATGATACAGTTTATCCTTAAAGTAGAGAATGATGGCATTTAAAAAAATAAATACAGATTATTATTATTACTTTTATTTATAAAATAAAAAAAGTATTTAATGTGACAATTTATCTTTTATATACGGCTTATATCATCAAAGTCTATTGCAATCCGATTGATTTAGGAATGCATAAATGATAAACATAATAATAGAAGATGCATAGATAATAAAAATTGGCAAAATATATCTAATTATTATCTATAGGTACATATATTTACACCCAAATAATAGGAACCTAGAGTTACACAGAGTATATAAGTAAGTATCACGATATCTGTGAGGTTAACTAAAATCTCTTATAAAAATCCCGTAGTTAGATTAGTTAGATAGGCAATACCATATTTGTCTCTCTTGATGATTCGACTACGTTGCACTAGTCAGCTCGTGACCACGGCCAGATACACTTAGACTTACTTACTTGTGGAATGAACTACCTTCCGGGGTTTTCTCATGAGACTACAGCATAGTTTTTGGGTTTCTTAAGGCTCGGAAATGCGCGTGTAACACTCCTGGTATTTCAGGCGTTCATAGGCTACGGTAACCATTAACGATAGCCACAATAGTAGTATAAAAAAAAATATCACAGTGATGTTATAATTATTTTGCTGTAAAAAGTTTTTGCCATAAAATGTTTTGCTATCAACGTAAGGCACATTTTACATAAGATTTGTTGCATATAAATTAATATACCTTCACAATTATTATCCTAGTTAGAGTTGACAGAAGCATTATTTACTGTCTACGTCGTGGTTAATCCACTTTACATGCCCATACTTCGCTAGGTTTGTTCTCTATATTTCTTTCACAGCAGAAATAAATCTATCATGATAGACAACGAGTCTGCTATCGTCTATTGTATTAATTTGATTTGTTCTCGATGCTTCTTTTACTGGAGAAATTAATCTAACATGATAGACGACAGACCTACTATCGACTGCTGTATTAATTTGATTTGTTCTCGAAGTTTCTTTTGCCGGATAAATACATCTAACGTGATGAGCAACGGGCTTACCATCGTCTATTGTATTAATTTGATTTGTTCTTGATGCCTCTTTTACAGGAGAAATAAATCTAACGATAGGCGACAGACCTACTATCGTCTGTTATATTAATTTGATTTGTTCTCAAAGTTTCTTTTGCCCGATGAATACATCTAACGTGATGAGCAACGGGCTTACCATCGTCTATTGTATTAATTTGATTTGTTCTTGATGCCTCTTTTACTGGAGAAATAAATCTATCATGATAGACGACAGACCTACTATAGTCTGTTGTATTAATTTGATTTGTTCTCGAAGTTTCTTTTGCCGGATGAATACATCTAACGTGATAAGCAACGGGCTTACCATCGTCTATTGTATTAATTTGATTTGTTCTTGATGCCTCTTTTACTGGAGAAATAAATCTAACATGATAGGCGACGAACCTACTATCGTCTGTTGTAATATTTTGGATTGTTCTCGAAGCTTCTTTAATTGGAGAAATAACTCGACCATGATCGACAACGACAGTATAGTATTAATTTGGTTTGCTCTTGATGTTTCTATTTCCAAAGAGGCTATAAATAAATTGACAAAGATTTTTGGTGTCTTTTGACTCTTAGATCTAAGGGATAGTAAACCCCTTCACATACCTATATAACATAGATTAACGCAATAACGTTACTCTTTTATAATATAACCTAAACGTTTCATTTCGATATCAAATTCTTTCGTTCTATATTTTTTAATTTTGTTCAGCCATGTACTATAGTTGCAATGCATCTTGCAGGTACCGCCGTATCTCTCCGGCAGACATTCGATTGGGATATGCTGCTGTAGAGACTTCAAATCGTGTCCGTGGAAGTAGATGTTGTTGACAAACTCCCGAGGGATGAACTTTTTGAAGAGATAAAAAAATGAGTTAAGTAGCCAGGAGTAGTTGATGAAGTGGCAGGTTTTCAGTCGGGCTGGTGTTGCCATCTGAAAATGGAAAAAGTACAAGTGATTAAACAAAGATAATTTGAATATAGAACATTAACCGACTATAAAATAAGGGGAAACTACTATATTCGTTAGTATTTATTATGTTAATTATCAAAACTCCGATTAAGAAATTTCTTTTTTATTTTTATAGTGTGGTTTTCAAACCAAACTTTTTGTAACTCATCTGTGTTTTTTAACGATTTAGTTTTTTTTTGTGCTGCCAAATAAGCCTGTAATTTAATAGAAATATTCATAATGAATTTTTGCACTGTTTGTTGTTTCATTTTGATTTGTTTGACTTTTCAGCTCCACTGCTTGGTCAACGTTTTCAATTTCCCTAGTGGCTATATGTTATATATGTATCTTATATGTAATTGTGACCAACTGAATTAATATCAATTAGTAAATATTAAAAAGTAATGCTATTACAAGCATTGTTTTTTGATATACATTTACAACAATTATAACACTCGTGTCGAGACGCTTCCAATACTACCTCTCAGATAACATACATTTAAGTTAAGTGTAAAGTTATAAGCTGTGTAGCACTCTGCTAAATAAATTTAAGTACAAAAAATAGTACAATTATTTCACTGGTAGGTGTAGTGAACACTACACGTGTTCGCTACACACATACATAGTACAGTGTTTTAGTACAAATATCAAGTGTTATTTCTTTTCAAACGATTTTGTTTGACATACTTACACCTAATAAAGAAACTATTTGATAAGCTACAGTAGGCGTTAAGGTAGCTGCGTGCCGCAATGTAATTCCTTCTAAATCAACGATGAGGGTGCCACCTAGTATTTGTAATTTCGGTTGTCTTGTCGCAATCTCGACTTGAGAGGCCCCTGCTTTAACTAGATCTTCTATAGGATACTCATTTGGATCCCAAGTTCCTGAAACATTGACAATAGCTAGATTATATTCTTCATACATACCGTCACAATTGTAATCTGAGGGTGCACCATTCCATTATCACCATTAAAAAACAGCTTTAACTAGATGATTATCTAGTTAGCGCTGTTTTTTAATTGTGCTCCAACGCTATACGGTTTACGTTGGCTAGGCACCGGTGGAGGATAATAAATGAGGTTAGATTAGTGTTTTTTTATTGATGTTTTGAGCTATAGTCAGGTGCTGAGACATGTATCACGTGGTACTCCAGTCCTGTAGATTGTGAAGGTAGATCCTGAAGTTAGTTGTACTAGCTGTTCCCGCAACTTTGTTCGCGTGGGGTAACTTGAACCGTTTACGCAGCGCACACAACGGAAGACCTCAAATATGAACCCCCTTTTTGCAAGTTTTCAGTGATACTTCGCTTCTATTGGTAGAGTAATGTTATACAGCTTAAAGCCTTCCTCGATAAATAGACTATCCAACACAAAAATATTTTTTCTATCCGAACCAGTAGTTTCTGAGATTAGCGCGTTCAGACAAAGAAACAAACAAACTATTCAGCTTTATAATATTAGTATAGACTAGCTGATCCGCGCAACTTCGTCTGCGTCTGCGCATATCCCCACCTGTTGCAATATTTACATTGCAGCTCCGCTCCTATTGGTCGTAACGTAATGTTATATAGCTTAAAGCCTTCCTCAACAAATGGACTATCCAACACAAAAATAATTTATCATTCAATAATTCAATTTATCAAATAATAAGTAGTAGAAATAGAAATAGAAATATAAATAAATTTATTCAAATAAACTAAGCACTTTTGAATAGTCAAGTTTTTTTTATTCTACCGCTTATTCGGAATGCAGATTCATCACAAGAAGAATAAGCAAGAAACTTGTGTGTTGCTCTTTTAAATAAATATTGATTTAGTTGTTAGATAGATAGATAGAATATACTTTATTTATAACACACAGTCAAGAAAAAGGCATAAACAATATATTCAAGGACAACATGTATAGTTACAATATAGTTCCTGAGGTTAGCGCAAACAAACAAACAAACTCTGCAGCTTTATAATATTAGTATAGATTTAAAATTCAAATTGCAATATAGAGTAACTAGACCAAGGTCTTGTGTAGAATATTCAAGCAGTGGCAATTTAGATGCGTTCATGTAAGTAATTAAATTTACAAATATTGCATGTCTCATGAGGAAAATATTCTGGTATGCAATAACGATCTAGGTTCAACATTTATATTTTAACGAAATAAATTTATTGATTTCATTTGATATCGTATTTTAAATTTAGAGAATTTAAGAACCATGCGTCCCATCCGTAAATACCATTGTCGTATTTCGTTAAATTAATAACACCATTACTAGCAATGTATGTCAGGTTGACCTCTACGTGGTTAGCCCTGGAAATCGTGATAAATTTCTGGTGAATTTACTAAAATAGGCTAACTGACTTAACCTCATGCTCATCTTATCATCCTCTATTGGTGCCCCGCCAGCGTAAACATTAGCGCAAGCGGGTAAAACAATATCATTCATTAAAAAATAACCGTTGAGAATTTACACACCGCCATCTAGAATTCCGAGCAAGCAGAGCCTGAGCAGAACTCATGTTATGAGTACTTGAGAACTAATAGAAATATATATTAACATAACATAATATATATTAACAATCATACTCAATTACTCATGAATACAAATGTTTATACCGTGCGAGGAATCGAATCCGCAGTCATTGGAAGTGAGGCGGTGCGCTAAACCGCTAGACTACCAAGGCCGTCAAACAAAGATTTTTAATGTATATATACGGACAAATCACATATAGTTGAATTGCATGTAGGTTGAGATGTACAACGGGTGTTAAAAAACAAATAAAAATAATTTATTCCTGTAGAATATTTTAGCCACTAATGAACGTAATTATTGTTATATTATATTATTATTTTTCTTATCGTATTATTAATATTATAAATACGAAAGTCACGTAGAGAAGAAGAAAGAGTATGGATGGACGTTTGTGTTACTCTTTCACGCACAAACTACTGAACGGATTTTGTTGAAACTTTACAGTGATATAACTTATACATAAGAATAACATAGGCTATTTTCACGAGGATGAAACCGCGGGCACAGCTAGTGTATTAATATTTTTTCTCTATCCATCTCCAGTTTAATATACAGATTCAACTGAGAACTGGCAAGAATCTCTTTTTCTTTTTTTATGATTTTCATAAGCCAAGAGCTGTACTCTTGGCTTTTGACGACGCTTGCCATTGCCACTTTCCATCAGGTGAGCCGTTTGCTATTTTAGTTACATAATAGAATAATGTCAGATGAAAATTAGTAAATTGCATATATTATTGTGTAAGTATATTCACCAAATCTGAATATGGAGAGGCGTCCAATATCAGGGCGGTCATATATGGTCCCTTCATACGCGTCCTTCACTTTCTCCAGGGACCAGAGGTCCACATCCTGCCATAAATACGGATACTGCTCCCTGAACGTGCAGTAACGGACCAACTGTAATAAAAGATAAGTGAAACTTTAGAATGTTTTCGCAAATAAACAATAGTCTCATATTGGGTCGTGGATTAATGGTTTTCTCCACAGGACAGAGACTCCAAAGGACTGTTCAAAACTGGTCAACACGAATCCTCAATTTTATTAGTGACTAGCTGTGCCCGTGACTTCGTCCGCGTGGAATTTAACTTTATTTTTCTAAAGCAAAAATAGCCTAAGTTACTCCTTATTACATCAGCTACCTGCCAAAAAAAGTCCCGTCAAAATCGATCCAGCCATTTCAGAGATTAGCCGGAACAAACAGACCGACAAAAATTTTAAAAAGTGTTTTTTGTGTATGTATCCTTTTATTTATATTCATATGCATGTAGTAAAAAACGGTTATTTCAATATTACAAACAGACACTCCAATTATATTTATATGTATAGATGAAAACATGGATAACAACCTAAAATTTAATACAACAGAGCGGTAGCTCACATTGTTTTTTTATTTTACTGTGGCAAAGAAGCATGTGGCCTACCTGATAGTAAACGATTACCGTAATCTATAGACGCCTGAACACAAAATGTCACGTCGCGTTGCCGACTCTTCGAAGGTTTCTTAACCTTAATATAACCTCTTTGAAAAACCTCATGCTGTAGTTTATCTAGAAAACCGCAGAGCGGGAAAAAGCTCCTCTGAAACCGCACTGTTCGAAACCACTTAGGTTCTAGCGTGTGGGGAGGAATCGCTGTCGATGGCGAGCGATGCGGTGGTAAAAGGTCGAAGCCATCACGTCGAACAATTCTTAGGAACACAGTCTGTTGTATATTCGGTACAATACATAGTGATGCGAGATCTAGCCTCAAGCTAAGTGGTTCGATACCGCTAGAGAGATCGGAATCATCGACGATTGTCTGTCCTACATTGTATTCAAATATACATAGCAAAATATGGCAGTTGACTATACTTCTAAGTTTCTCATTTGGGAGAATAGTAAAAAATGGTATGGTAGAAAATATCTAAACAAATATAAAAAATCGAAGCTGTTATTTGTAAATTCAAATTAATAGATTTTGACTAAATACATATGAAAATACGGCCTATAAGTATTTTTTTTTACTTGCCTGTCTGTTTTAATCTTACTAATCTCTGAAACGGCTGAACCGATTTGCATGCGACTTTCACTCGCAGATAGCTAATGTTGTACGGAGTGACCTAAGCTACTTTTAGACATATTCTAGAAATTTTATTTATATTATTTCCATGGGGTCGAATATTAAATATTTAAAATATAATATATATGATAGTTTACCAGCCTGTGTGCTTTTGGTATGATATAATTTCTGGCCCGTAGAAATCTCAGCAGGAATTTGTCATCAGTTCTGTATGGCGTACATTCGCCGCGATCTGCAATGTATAAACAGTTTTATAAATATGGGTAGAAATATACGTTAAAATACTACATATTAATACCTGAAGCAAAACCTTTTTACGAAAATTGTGCGGATTGAGTATGAAATTTCGCACACATAAAGTTTATATAGAGAATGCTAATATATATTATTGCAATATTTTTTTTTGCATGTGATTATGCAAAAAAAAAATATTGCATCAATAAAAAATCATTACACACACTACCAGATATTTGACATATACACGCATAGAAATCTTTGACGTTAATAATATTCAAAAATTTAATATATTTAATAGTCGAAACTCTATTAAATAGCTAACACTAATATGTAATAATATATGCTAACATTTACCTGCATACATGAACAGCACCAGATACTTTCATCATACACGTTATTATCATTCTTACACGTTATTATATGATACCACTGATACCACTAATGCGTTGCCATTCTGTGTACTAAGATGTTATGCTTCTTACCCTGTAATTTCACTGCCGTATTATGAACTTATGTTGCCGTATGAACATGATGGAATTGAATGGAGAGGTAGTCAACAGTATCTTATTTATTATTTTTCTTACTTCTTTTTTATTAAGCAAGCTATTAGGCAGTGAAATTGGTGGGACTGAGGATCGAGTTTATTACTAGAGTTACTAGAATATAATAGAAAATCATTTATTTAAATAAACTTAACCATTTTTGAATAGTCGTAGTTATCATACTTTTAATCTACCGCTCATTCGGAGAGCTGTCGCATCACAAGGAGAATGTACAAGAAAGTTCTAACTTTACATTTTTTAAGTCGAAACAAAACATACAAACTGTCTGTCTGAATACAAACTATTATTAAATAAGTCTGACTAATTATTTACTGACTACTAAATTAGTCTGAATACAAACTACCAACTAGCACTAATTTATTAGGGTCAAATATTAAACACATAATAAGATTAAACCAGTCGTAGTAATTATTATTTACTTGGAGTTAACACTTTGTTATTCGCGTTATTAATTTAAATGAGACATCTTTCTTAAGTCTGATGTCATCCAAATAACAAAAACCCCCAAAAATGTTTACATTCGTAATGAAAAAGTTGTATTGTTCGGATTTACCTGTTAACATTAACACCTTTTCTATGCAGCGTGGAAAAACCCATCAAATTATTAAACAAAACAAGACATGTGAATACAACGGGGTTCAATAGATGCATAAGAGTTTTAATAACATTATAATAATAATAATAATGTTTATTGAACTAATATTTAGTACACCCTTGTTAATATTCTCACATAAATAAAATTGCTTAGTAAATACAGCAGTGTTTTGTACACGTTTACTTTATAGTTAAACAATTCAAATAATATAAAACAACAAACAAAACAAGTAACAAAATAAATTTAAGTCCTTATTAAATCATGCTGATGAAACAAATATCACTTCTAAGTAGTTAGATAATAATTTGTATGTTAAATTGGACACAATCCTTATTTTGCAGAATTATAGTGGGTACATAATAAACAGCATACAGCAGGTGCTAGCTTTTATTAAAAACTGTTACGGCAAGGTAATGAGTCAATCTCGGTTCATACTAATGATACATTTAAATATAGGCTCTAACATTATTTGTTAGATGTATATAGAGATATAATGAAATATATTCTAAACAGCATGATATTTGTGATTAATGATATCCAATGCATAGAACCTCCAATCAATCCCTCGTAATTTAAACGAAATCACGATGATCTGAGACGAGGTTCGAACCCATAGCGGTGACCTCAGACTAAAGTTATATCCGTCAGGCAGTTGATCTTCAGCAGCTCCATAAGTCCTTCCGCGGGTTTGGAGTGTTATCTGTACAGCCAGCTGCAGCTAACAGCAATACAATAGGTCGAAAAATCTGCATAGCTTAGAACAGGGCTTCCCAAACTTATTCGTATTGTGACCTTGACTTTGCTATTTTTTTGCGACGCCCCTCAACCCAGCCCTGTTAAATACCCAATTCTAGTACTAGTCCAGTAATAGTTTATAAGAAAAACCCTATTCTTCAAATAGTGCTTTACTGCGCCCGACGCTCTCTCCACTCGGTCGCAAAGTCGCGTCGACGCCGACGAGCCTGAATCAAAGTTTAGGGAACCCTGGCTTAGAGATCAAAGATTGAATAATACATTCCGATCACTGTCTTACGACAATTGACTGACGATCACCAGCAGTATAGGATGGTAACAATGACGACATCGCGCATGATACTGAATACATTAATTCGTATCTCGACCTCATCACGGATAAATCATCAGGTCATTTTCAACAGGTCACGCATAAAATAAATCTTGGGACATCATTACTTAATATATTGCGTAAACGAAATAAGATTAAGAGTAAATAAATAAAAAAAACAGGTTTCGGTGCATCAGATATCATGTTCTGATCAGTATTTCGTCAGTTTAACGCCGAATCTCGTTATACTTACATCATTTAAATTTACATAGTTATATTAAGCACCTACTTATATATTTGATACTAGCTTTTACCCGCGGCTTCGCTCGCACTAAATCGTATTGTCTGTGAGTGACAGAAGAAAATAATAATAAGTATAGAGATTTATAATTTCATAACTGGCTGTTGGTGCTGAAGTAGCAAAATGTTGATATTTTTTTTATATATAAATATTTGATTTTTTAAATAAATAGTATCCTATGTTCGTTTTAATACCTTCTTGATGCGTGAAAGCTTAACAAATATGCCTAATTTCACATTTGTAATATTAGTAACGAATTAATAAATATTATTATTCTTTGTAAAGTACCGATATAATATTGGTTAATTTTGTACCTCGTTGAAGTGGAGCCTGTTTTAAGTTAATGTTTTTGTAATTAAGTATTTCTGATTCCTGCGACACAAGCCCTGAGCTTAGTGCAGGGATTGCTGTTTAATGTCTTGTCTACAACCATTAATGTAATGTGTACAAATAAATAAATAATTTGTAATATTGACGGAATTTGATTTGAATTTTTCTAAATTATATTACTGATTCTGTTTGATTTTATTTGAACTAACATCTAAACACACAAAATACCTTTATTAGGTTATTAGCTTTTTTATTTTTATGTAATTGGAAACAAAGAGGACGTCCTCCAGCTTACCTGGTGGACAAACATGAAATTGCCCGATACTACAATCCAGGACAGATTGTCCTGACGCTGACCTACATAAAAATTGAAGGAGAGCTGATGACAGACCTATAAAATGGTCGATTAATAACAATTTTAAATTTTTTTTTTGAGTCAAATATAAATATATAATAAGATAAAAATCTTGTGTCGCATGTGTGATAAGCACAAGCAGACCAGTCCCTACAAGCAGCACTCGTTCACGAGTATGACGGATGAGCCAGTCATCACTGCGCGCGACCATATTTTAGGGCGCTCAATGACCCGGCCCACTACGCCGCCACATGTATGGACATTTTAGTGAGCATGACTACTCATTCCACTCGACCACGTCACAGCTACTTAAAATTATAAGCAGCAATAATTTATTATTTGAAACAAATAAGGATTATATTATTATCAATTTGAATCATTTTCACAGCTTTTGCTGTTTTTTTTTACACTTATTATTATTATGACCCATCTGATGGTAAATGATAACCGTTACCTGTATACAACGGTAACGGTTATCATTTACCATCATTTACCAAAACTACTAGCTGTGCCCGTGATTTCACCCACGTGAAATTGATAGCCTATGGATTATTCTGATGGATAAGCTATATTATTGAAAGGTTTTATGAAAATCCATTCAGTTATTTTAGCTTTAAAGAGTGAAAACATTCATTGACCAATACAAACAATGAAATACAAAATACAAATGTTTGTAACGTGTGAGGAATCGATCCCGCGACCATCGGAAGTGTGCTAAACCGCTAGACCATCGAGGCAATCAATATCTTGAATATCATCTTGACAAATAATAATAATATTTATATTTCTTAACAATGCATTGACACGACTTTCGGTGTAAAATTAGATAGCTGTTTTTTTTAACTGTAATTATTTGTTGCTATGATGGCTATAAGGCCACTCTCTATCCACAGTTGACAGTGTACTTATGGCCGTTGTAAATGTAATAGCTTTCACCAAATTCGTAGAGCACTCATAAAACTTTCACAATGTTGACCTACACGCAAAGTGAATATGAAAAAAACTGCATTGATACAAAATCAATTTAGTTTTTATACACTAACTATACTACCCGGCTTTGCACGGATGCAATGCTGATACTAAACTAAACTAAATAATAATAAAATAATAATCTCAGGACAATACACACAGCGCCTTACTTACTTAGATACTTTTTTTTTGCAAATACATACATATTATACATAGAAAACACCCAGACCGATACAAACAATCATACTCATGAATACAAATGTTTGTACCGTGCGAGGAATCGAACCTGCGACCATCGGTTTTAAGGACATTTATAATTTAAACATTATAAATAACATTGAAGTGTCTATTTGTAATTTCACATAAATGGTTCTTCACTAAATGCTAATATACTAAATAATATACGGTACTAGAATGAAAAAAAATGTTTCTATGTTCTTGGTAATCTCTGAAACAGCTGGATCGATTTTGACTCGAAAACTATGTACATGTAAGGAGTAACTTATTAATATAGCCATATTAATTATAGAATTTTTATTTATCATTCACTAAAAAAAAACACCATGTTTTCGTAGGAATGTGCATGGTAGATTCTTTAGGCCTTCAATAACGTAAAAGAAATTTTAATATAATTATATCTTTTTCTTTCTTTCCTTACGAAACACAATAAAATTGACAACACAACTAGTGTTGTTGTTACTCACCTTCTATCATATTTCGAAGCTCCTGAATCGACTCAGACCTGGTGGCCACATTCTCATGGCACAACTCCGAAGCTAGAGCCAGAAACTCCTCATTCTCTTCTGTATTCAACACTTCAGCCTCGAATCCTATTTCGAGGAAGCTCTCGAACATTATGCAAGCCTGGTCCTGTAGGAACAAATAGTGCTTTTTTTGTTATTGGAATGGCAAACAAACTTATAATAAACCCACAATAGCGACTCTTACGGCGACTCTTTTGACGACAGCCGTGATAACGTGATGTCCGTAGTGCATCTGGCGGGCATACAACATGTTATCATGTGATTCATGCGTTGGCATTCCAGAAAAAATTGTCATGTCTCTAATCTTGTAATTTAGCTGCAGCTACACCTAAACATCTATTTTTTTATTACAAAAAATAAAATCCTATTTTTGTAATTTTACCTACATAACACTTATTTCGTCTGCTTTATCAGAAATAAAATAAAACTATATGTCCGTTGTTGCAATACAAACTCTTATCTTAGTTAAACATTAAAATCCGTTTAAGTTAAAAGGTATACATTTTGTATATACACTTCCACATCTATACATATAAATAAAATTGGAGTGTTGTAATATTGTTGTTGTTAATATTATTATCTTGTAATATTATTATTGTTGTCTGTTTGTAATATTGAAATAACCGTTTTTTACGAAATGCATATAAATATATTTATATTGTATAGTGGAATTTTATTTTATTTTTCTAAAATAAAAATAGCCTTAGTTACTCCTCATTACATCAGCTACCTGCCAAAAAAAGTACCGTCAAAATCGGTCCATTTCAGAGATTAGCTGGAACAAACAGGCAGACAGACAAAAATTGTAAAAAATGTTAGTTTGGTGTATGTAACGTATTTACGTTACATACACCAAACCTGTTTGTAGCTGATGTAATGAGGAGTAACTAAGGCTACTTTTATTTCAGAAAAATAAAATAAAATTCCACGCGGACGAAGTCGCGGGAACAGCTAGCTTACAATATTACTATGGAAGTATAGATTAGTAACTATATAAATAAACAATGATATCAAATCTTTCGTCTGTATAATATTACTCTGTGCAGTAATAATTTTTCATACAAAATCGGCCACACTTCTATTTTCAACTCTAACTGATATTATGCCTGTGAATGACCTTACTAAGGTTTTCTATGAATGTTGATATGTTTGTTTATACCGCCTACTAATGGCAAACCTTACTATGTTATTTGTACCGTTGTCACTGAAGCGAAATGCCTGTTATTTTGTGTTTGTAGAAATATTTGTCTGTTTTTGGATTTCATATCCACGATGTAGCAACTAGTAAATCACTAGTAAGTATTATTATATTCATATTTTATCAAGAACGTAACTAATATAAGCAGAGCTTATGTTATGTGTACTAGACAATTGGTATAAATACTAAAACACAGTTGTTTTGTAAATACATACATAATATATCTTGAAAACACCCAGACCGATACAAATAATCATACTCATGAATATAAATGTTTGCACCGTGCGAGGAATCAAACCCGCGACCTAGTAAAGCGGTGTGCTCAACAACTAGACCACTGAGGTCGTAATTCTATACCTAATTATTCTAATTAGACTACATATAGTTGTGACGTAAAAAAAAATCAAATACACAAGAATTCCGTCTTTAAAAGATATGAAAAAAAAAACATTAATACTCATCTATTAAAAAAACCACGCAACAAACAAATAAGAATCTATAGTCGTAAAAACATGAGACAAAAAACAAACATGTACTAATAATAGTAGGTACATGTTGAGCTGTCAATTCTTACGACAGTAATTAGTACTAATTTTTATGAATATAATTTGTAAAAAAATCGATTATTATTCATAAATAGATTTTTTATAATTTATAAAAAAAATGAAAAATTTTCTTTTAAAAAACATGAGTAACTTGATCTGTGGTGACCTAAATAAAGTAAAGTATAAACAAGTATAAAATATATTAACTGGCGCAAAAAATGAAGTTATTGAAATATTATTATTTATATGCAAAAGAGAAAATTAACGATTTAATCGATTATTATTCAATAAAAATTTATGAATTATAATATAATCAGTCATTGTGTAAGTAAAAAATCTATTAATCTATACATATAAATAAAATTGCAGTGTCTGCTTGTAATATTGAAATAACCGTTTTTTCCCCATGCATATGAATGTTCCAAACAATTTTTGTCTGTCTGTTTGTTCCGGCTAATCTCTGAAATGGCCAGACTAAGCTAGTTAATAATAAAATTTAAAAGACAGTACCATACATATTCATATCCTAAATATTGGTTAAGAAGCCTTTCTTGCAAAGTATTGTTTAAAGTTTTAAACAATACTCCTCGCATTTATATTAATTTTTATGTTTATTAAGGGCTAATGCATAAAAAAATGCAAAGAACCCGTAGAAAAATTTTTGACTTATGGAACGGCTGAGTATCAGCTGTTAGGGTGCTCTGCAGAAACAAACGTATAGGCCATTCTCCAAAACGAAACGTTAGCGCGTTCCAGATTTCACACAGCGCCATCTATTGGTACGGCGGGCAAACTAAACCCGTTTCTGCCGCACGATTGGTAAAGTTCGAATTTCGACTCTATCCGTTAATGAAATAAGAGTGTTGGATTGTATATTTATTTTACAAACGTTTGTGGATGTTTTTTTTTATTATTTCTTCAGAGTTTGAGTTATAAAGTACGTACAATTAAAGTAATACAGTATTCAGGCCACAAAGAAACTGATTTCAATCGTATTACTCTTATTAACTCAGAAAATACTAGTTAAATATTGACTAAATTTATACGGGATCACATGAAAAGCACCTGCTTGCAAATAAAAAAAGTATAATCATAATATACTTATATAGAAAGCCGTTAACTTTAGCCGTTAATTTTAATTTCATTTAGATTCAATTTATATTTTTTATTATTATCCGGACAAAGAATTAGTCTAGCCATTCAAAAAGGGAACGCTGCCAGTATCTTCGGAACTTTGTCTAACGGGACGCCTTTTAATTATATTTATTAAGGTTTTTAATTTTAGGTTCTTAGTTGTACAATTAAGTTATGTAAATAAATTTGAGAAGTTTCCTTATTTATTTCCACTTATTATATGCATCACCTACTCTATTTTTATAAATTAAAATTGAAGAGATTGCATTAACAATAAAACCGCCTTTTGCCCTTACTTTTATATTCAATGTTTTAAGTTTCTTAATTTCTTTCTATTTTAATGAATGTTATAAATAAATAAAACTATATTTGTTGCCGATGTGTTCTTTACACGCCAGTTCACATGTTGAGCGGAGCGTGTTTATTCGTAAAAACTCGCCCTTGACCAATCAGATTTTTTTGAGTGGTAAACGACGGAGGCCCCGCGTCGACCTTTGACGAAATTTTGCTCTCAATAGGTTAAGCCGGAGGAGAGTATTTTTTTTTTTTATTGAGGATTTTGGGCTATTATTGTCATATGTTAACACCTGTAGCATTACGACCTATATAGATCTATTGTGCTCGCCATTTTTCAAAGTTCGCTGCCAAGGCCCGTCAGAGTCATGAATTGAAGGATATTCTTAGGAGCGATGGTTTTATCTCCTCAGGATATGGTGTATACTTTACATTATGAGTGAACTAAAACCACATAGGTTGTGTCATTACATATCTTATGTGGTTTCCCAAAATTTGCCAGGCAGAAGAGGAAAGGCCACTGCGTTTCCTCCTGTACCTGGCAAAATCTGCAGATAGGAGTATTTTCACAAAGAGTGTAAATCTGATCTCTAAGATCATACTCACTTCGGACTCCGTTCTATAGAATAGTGTGTGGGATTTTTTTTTATTTTTACACAGTGGCGTTTCCTCTTCTTTCTGGCATAATCTGTAGATAGGATTATTTTTACAAAGAGTGTAAATCAGATCTCTAAGATCATACTCACTTCGGACAGCGCTCAATAGTATAGTGTGTGGAATTTTTTCATTTGTACGCAGTGGCGTTTCCTCTTCCTCTTTCCTCGTATTTTTACAAAGAGTGTAAATCTGATCTCTATGATCATACCGGCTTCGCACTCTGCTCAATAGTACAGTGTGTGGATTTTTTTTATTTGTACAGGTGATAGAAGTGTTGGCCGTTTAATATTTATGAGTTATATAAGTTAGTATAATGTTGTGTTAGTTCATACCAATTATCTTATCTCATGGTACTAACTTAATTTACATTTTTTATACTTCTCCTTTATGTGCCGTCTCCTACCGGAGGTTGGCGATCATCCTGGCGATCTCAATTTTGTCCACCGCTATTCTGAACAAGGATCTGGTGATTCTGGAGATTCTTTAGCCATGAAGGCGGCGCCTGCCTGGTCTTCGCCGGCCCTGGCTTATTCCTTAGATAATTAATTGTAAAAGACCATATTTTTTTATTACGCATTATATATACCGTAACTTCCTACGTTTTATGATAACCAACACTCCAAGTCTTTTTTCTAAAATGGATAGCACACTCTCAATTCGCACTCTATCTCTCCACGATATCTTCAACATTCTCCTGTACACCCACATCTCGAATGCTGTAATTTTCTTACACATGGATTCTGTAAGTGCCCACTATTCGACTCCGTACAAGAGAACGGAAAACAGATAACAGCGTGCCAAACTAATACGAGTTGCAATTTTCAAGGAGCGATTAGTGAGTAAACCACTTAGTTTTATGAATGTACTCCGAGCATTTTGTATACTAACTTATCTTATCATACTAACATAAATACTAGACATAGTCTAATCACTCCTCTCCATCCTAAGGTTGCCTGGAAGAAATCGCTATTTAGCGATAAGGCCGCCCATTGTTACCTCTATATTATAATTATGTTGTTTTTCTTTTTATATTTGAAGTAGATATTAATTTATGTAATTATTCTTTCTGTGAGAGGAACAATAAAGTGTTTTTCATTCATAAATCTTGCATTTTGATTTAATACGAACTTTTCTCGAATATATAAGGTGCTACCTAACTACTAGCATAGATAAAATAATCTACTTGTTGTGGTGGGGTTCTTTTCTGTTGAGATGATATGTGAGATGATATGTTTACTAATAAATAATATGTATGTTTGTAACAGAAGAATTGTATTG